CCAAAGGAGCAATTTGTGTGGTGACTCGAGCTCCTCTTTCTTCCTGCACAATGCTTGCAGGCAGGCCCTGACTTCCCCATAAAGTGTTCTGAAAACTGCCGGCAGCTCCTGGTGCTCTGCTTGCTGCTGGGGATGGCTGGGAGAACTGCTGTGCAGCAGCTCCAATCTGTGAATGTAAAATCCTGGTTGTGGGTAGCATTGCCATGAGATGGTTTTGTTTTATAACCCTGTATGTGCACGTGAACGAATGGCGAGAAGCCACTGAGCCAGGAAGAAAAGTGGATTAATCCCGGTTTTATGCTTAAGGAAACCTGAGTCACAATGAGGGAGGTATGGGAGGGTGATGCTGCAGCATCTGTGTTTGTCAAAACAGTGAGATGGGCTGTGATGGGGAGACACAGAGGGTGGTAGGCTCTTGTTGGTGCCCAGAAAGGGTCTGCCTTGTGCTGGTTGAGAGCTTGATCTGATGCTGAAGATACCTTCTGCTACTGGTTGATTGGATTTTCATGACCTCCAAGCAACAAAGATGTGTTCTGAGTCAGACTTTGCAGACCGCAGCTGCTGGGTGGAGTGGGAGGAGTGGAATACTGAGATTTGGGACTTTTCAAGTTGGCCTGTGAAAGACATCTGGGAGAGTTTGCAGAGGAGTGCTGCAGAGGACCTGAGCGACATGCTGGCAGACTGCAGGGCTTTCCTGTCCATCTGACAGACCAGGGCGCATAGAGACCTCTGCTGCCATCTCAGCACCTTGTGGTCTTGAGGAAAAATGTTGCTCTTCATCTGCTAATTGCTGGCATGGCACAAATGAGCAATGGTAATGAGCTTTACTTCCATTGCTACCCACTTTATTGCCTGTGGATACATCCATGTCCCTTAATCTAGGCATAATCATGCATTGCAGTTGGCACAGGGGTGTTGTTATGTGCGTAGGTGGGACTGCATGGATGCTGAACAGCCCTCAGTACGCTTGATTCTGCATTGCTTAAGTGCAGCAGGAAAATAAGTAATTCACAGAGGTAACGGCGAAGATTCTGATCTCCAGAACCCACATCCAAAGCTTGATGACATTTTTGGCTGAACGCTTTTGCATGCTGGTCTCCTTGACAAGGCAATTTCGGATTGCATTTATTCAGACATCTGGGATGAAGCAGGCAACCTCAGCCATTACAAATCCTACCGACTGTGCTACATAATGAACCATCTGGCCAGAGCTGCTGCACAGCCCAGCTCCAACAGGTGGGAGTGGGTACCTCCTGCGAGGAGCAGCCCCAGGATGGATGCATCAGGTTCCTGAGCATCGTGGCTGCTACCTGTTTATGGCTGAGATGTGATGTGAAAGGGCCTCAAGGCTTGAAACAAGTGCAGAGAAGCTTCTGGATATCCATGGGTATGATTTAAGCTGGGCGTTGGGCCACTATTGACAACAGGCTTGGTATTTAGATAAATGGGCTTGCTTTGCAAGCTAAACCTATAAGCTCTAGCTTGCCGATTTCAATCGCTGCTTTCAGAGGATGGGGTAGTTACTGCTAGTCGTCTTATGTAATTTGGCACCCAGGGATTTCAAACTGGCTGAACTGGTGGAAAATTCCTCTTTCATAACACCCAGGAAAGCAAGTGGTGAGGAAGGGCTCCTGGTTGCTTTGTTCCTCCCCTGAGCTGTAATGGGGGATGCAGCAAACGCTGACCCACCCCAGGAGAACTGAAATCTCTCTTTAAAAATCAAAACAAAAACAAAACAGGAAGTCTTTTCTCCCTGTCAGTAACTGTTAACTATCAACCACAACGAAAGCATATTCCATGAAGGTTCATTGTGGTTGGGGAGAAAAAAAACCAACAACAACAACCCAAACCCATGTTTTTTAAATGTCAGCCAGCTCCAGATTTAACCTTATTGTTTCTCTCCCTCCTGAAGTTCCCAACCCCATCCCCTGCTGGGACTGAGTCATGCTCTGTCGCTGAGCTCCCAGCTCTGCTCTGCTCAGTGTTTCTGGCCGTTCTGTTCCACGCTCTGAATGAAGCTCGCTAACCCACCTCCAAAATTTAGGGTGTCAGCTGAGAAACAGAACGTTTCAAAGCCGACTCCCATGCTCTGTAGAAAATCAATTATTATAATGGCCCTATTACTGACGGCTGTGTGGGCTGTCTTTCTCATGGGTGAGATGATGACACAAATCTGGGACTGAGCATTCTCTTCGTCACCGCTTTCCCTCTTGGCAGTGCTGTGGCTGCTTCCTGTGCCTCTGGGAGCGACGGCAGCTCTGGAACAGGCTGTTTCCAACGTGCCTCCATCAGCTATCTGCGTCCTTACTCTCCCTTCCTCGTGGCTGAAGCCCCTCTCAGCATCTCCATAGTTACCTCTGCATCCGCCTGCAGTCGTGGCTGCGTGTGCGCAACCATCTCACGAGGAGCTCTGTGCTCTGGAGTAACCTTCCTCCATCTATTTCCTGTCAACTCCCATCTGAGAAGATATGGCTTTCTCCCTTGCCCCACGTCCTTTTCTTTGCTGCTATTGGCTGTGTGATGGAGCGCTTTAATTCACCCACCAGGCAGTGTGTCCTCTCCTGTGCCTTGCCTCATTTGTACGTCAGCTTCTTGACAGCCAAAGTTGCAGCTTTCAGTCCCGTGCTGTAGTTGGATGTGAGAGCTGCTCTGCAGTACCCTTTTGCCCAGGTAGCCCTTTTCTTGCCTAAATTGGGGGCTTCAGTTCTTCTCTGGAAACGTATTGCTTATGGATGAAACAAGAAGGCTTTCTCAAGGCTTCTGCCGTACAGTGCCTGTTCTCATGGGATCAGAGGGTGCCAGGTAATAAACAAAACGAATCTGATGGACTGAAAATTAGAGTCCTCAAGAGCATTTTGACTGCAGATCTGAAACCAAGCACTGTAATTCTCATGTTTTGTATTCCTAGAAGAAGGTGGCTTCAGTTTCAGCCCCATGGAATGCCCTGCTATAGCCAGGCTCATCCCTTTGTGATCATTGGCCATTCCAGTGTCTGGGCTCAGTTTGTGAATCTCTTAAAGAATAAACACACCTCAGAAAGGGTTTTCCACAGTGCTTTAGCCTTTACGTTGCTTCCTCTCCCTCCGCACAAATGTGAGGAGCATACTTTGTTGTGCAAGAGGCCCCTGCTGGAGCTCTTGTGGTGGCCTAGTTTGATTTTGGTCTTACCCCAAGGCAGGTGGAGTCTGCTCAAGGCTGATGACCCTTATTGGACTTCTGACAGTTTCAGAGTCCAGAACATTTCAGCAAACCTTAGGAGAGCCCCATGCCCTTCTGGGATGTTGCTGCACCCAGCTCTCTGGCCATGTTTATTCTTTTTACAGCTATATTTTTGGCAATCTTTCAGCCATGCACTTCTTTACTGTCCCACTCGGGTGGGAGTAACATTGTCATCTGGGGTTGTTAACTGCACAGTCTCTAACTTGTTAGCAATAGGCTGTTTGGGTTTTCTTATTGCTGGTAAAGAGCCACATGCTCTGCAGCTGCTCCTGGCTGCTCTGCCTTCTCTCTCTGTGGTAGAAAGGCACGAGGAGCCATCCTCAGACCAGCACCAGACACACTGCAAGCTGAGTGCAGCGAGGGAGGCACCAGCACTACCTGAATCACAAAGTCATTCAATTGTCAAGTCTGTTAAGTGTCAAATTCTCCTTTAAAACCAGAGGCTGTGACATTCGGTGAAGAACGGCATCACTTCAATGTCAGGAAGGTCTATTCTTAGCACGGCAGTGAAAAAGGGGAAAAAAAAAGTCTTTGGGGGAAGAAAAAACCAACACGATTTTACAGAAGTGAACCTTGTCAGACATGATCAATTTGTCTCCCATTCAGAGTGACCTGGTCCTTGCTGCCTTCCAGAGAACAAACCTTGATGACACAGCACAATAAATTAAGATTGCCAGATCTCCCCGTAATTAATTTTCTTGCAGCGCAGGTTTGGCAAGGAATAATTTACCTCCGAGCTGACTAAATCACTGCTGGTGGTGGCTTTGTTTTGCTCTCTGCTCTTCCCCCTTTCTTTTCAAGGAACCTTTCTCCTTGGCCGCTGTAACAGCCACCCCCGTCCCCTTACTCACACCTCAGCCTTCAGCTCTCAGCATCCCCCTCCAACTGGACACTCTTGTAATGCTTTTGCCTCAATTATTTCTCACTGGACAGCTTCATCTGAGTTCATGCCAGCAGCAGAATGATCCATAGCCTGGGCAGCCTTCAGACTCGCTTGCCACAGCTACGATTCTTGGAATCAGTGTTTTGGAAGAAGTTCAGTTTATAATAATAACATAATCTAATCCTCAATTAAAGGAGAAAAAGAATTTATTTAGCGCGCTGGGAACTTAGGAAAGATGTCTGTGCTACTTCTTCAAAGCTGTGTGTCCTCAACTCTGCTTATAACGAGCTGGGGGATGTATTCAAGGACTGAGAAAGCGCAGTGAGCTGTATCCAGCCGTCCTGAAAAAGCCACGTAAATGTCTTTGTGACTTTAATTAGATGGGGACAGAGTTCTAACTATTACTAAACTTCTATTCCCAAAGAAGAAATTTAATCACTGCAGGTTGATGCTGGAACAAGGCTGTTACCAAAGCAGATTCTGCTCTTGCCTGTGTACGTCCTGACCATCCCCAGAGAGACGGCTGGCCGCCTGCTGCTGGCTTGTTGGCTCTCTTTAGTATTCATGCAGTGAAATTCATGTGAAAATTAGTCACACTTCTGACTTGAGAAAACTTTCTCAGCCCAGAAATTAATCTGATATCAGGGGAATTAGAAATTCAGATGGGGGAATTATACACTGCTTGTCAATATAGCGGACCTTATAAAAGCCGCAATCCATCATATCTGCATCAGCCTTGGTCTTACGCTTCCTTGCCATCACTTGGAACGTGGTCCAAGGAATAAAGGAAAAAGTGAACCGGGACACAACCGAGCACTGATCTGGAGCTGTTTTTGGAGCTGTTTTGCAGTGTCACCCGTGGTTGTGTGCATGCTGTGTGCCCAGCACAGCTGCTTACCTTCTGCGCCCGGCGCTTGTCAGCACGCTGGTTCTGGTGGTAGATGCGACTGAAATTGGAGACGATGACAGGAACGGGCAGAGCGATGACCAGCACCCCGCTGAGCGAGCAGATGGAGCCGAAGATCTTCCCAGCAATGGTCTTGGGCACCATGTCGCCGTAGCTGGGGAGAAACACACACGGGAGGTTCCCCCTTCAGACCCGTGCAATGGCTCCCAAAGCCTTTTTAGGTACTGTGAGCATCCAGACAGCAAAGCTTAGGCAAGCAACAGATCCCATACGTTGTTGACCCAGCAGTGGCCTTGCAAGGTGCTCTGATGATAACTTGAGCTAAACCAATGGAGGGCGCTGCCTGCAGAATGGATGTGAGCTGCTGAGCACAACAACTCGCAGCCCTGCTCTGTTAGCACCCACCTCCCTGTGTAAATGAGCCCTAACAACTCTGTGTGTCTGCCTGGGGCCAGGTTCATATATTTTCATTCCCTGTATCAAGCTGCGAATGAGGACTGATTTACACTTCTGTTTCTGGACGCCCCAGTTCCCTTAGAAGGGAAGGTTCATTCAAAGCCTGAATTCAGGAATAGATGAATCCTCAGGCATAAATCCAAGTGAAAAACGTTCAAACTTCTGTGCAGTCTGACCCAGCAATCTTTTCATTGACTGCTGTAACTTGTATGTTAAATACTACCAGCAGAATCAGAGGTGAAAGAGCCCTTTTTGTGCAGATTGTGCACATTTTTGTGCACATTGTGCACAGATTGTGCTGATTTGGTTCTTTAGATTGCACATAACAAATCACTGCCCTGTCAAGTGCTTTTTTTTTTGCTTTTTTTTTTTTTTCAATTTGTGGCTTTTATTTTGCAAATTACAAAAGTTTTCTGCAGGAGTTTGATACTTAAGCTTTGATATCAGCTCTAAGTAGAGAAATCCAATGTGCTATGTACTGTGGCCACTCACTAGTGCAATGGGAACGAGCATGGCTGTTGCCCCTCCATAGAACACATGGTGCTGAGTCTGCTCTGAGCCTCAGGTATGTGCCTGGCTGCCCTGACTCACTGGGTGCTGTGTGACAGCAAAGGTAATTGGGGTTTTGAAGTCTGATTTACAGTTTGGCCTGACAGAATCCCTGTGTGGCATCCCAGGTGATGGAGCCTCTTAGTTGTGACCAACTGCACCTCACAGCCCAGCTCCTGATAGCCAGGTGGGCACTAGAGGTTGGCAGAACAGATGTTGCTGCCCTGAGCTCAGCCTGTGCAATGGAAGCCTCCATTGGAGGCTCATTCTCCTCTGCAGTTAGCCCTCTACGAGGGACTTCAAAGCTCTCTTCTGCAAATGGCTGATGGGCAAATGGAAACCCATTCAGAAGTGGAGGTACGATCTGATCGTGTAGCAAACAGCTCCCTTGTAGCTGATGCCCCCAGAGTACGGCAGGAGCACAATTCTCACAGACACTGACTGAATTCACTGGCCTTGAAGCCTTCGGTGAGCCGTTTAGTAGGTGTTTTATTTTAAGAAAAAAGAAAAAATAGGTTTGGCACTGAAACATCCACCTGCAAACCACTGGAGTGCATGGATTCCCACAGCGCCTCTGTGGCTCAGGAGGTCAGGCTGTGCTGTTGCCCCACTGCAAGCACTGCTGAAGTTCTGTAGCAAGCAGGAAAATGGTGCTAGAAGTAAAGGCTGGAACCTTCGAGCGGCAACGAGAGGCTTCTCTCTGCTATCAGATGGCATTTGGGATTTCTTTGGGATATTTTGGAGTTAGATGGAGCAAATATTGAAAAGCAAAGTGATTTATAGCAGGGGCTTTATTTTTCAGACATTGCTCGTGAAAGCTTAATTGTTCCAAGCAGAATCCTTCTGCATTCACCTGCACACACTGCACTAAAACCCCTCGCAATACCACAAATCAATAACGTGCTATTTATGTCTGTTAACTTTCTAGCTGCTGCTGCTTTATGCCAAGATCGTTTTGAAGCTCTTGCCAAGTGACAAGGTCTTCTACCTCATTTAACACTGTTCTAAAAAAATCTTTCTCCATTTTTCCTGCTGCCCCTTAACACAATAGGGCTGAAAATTAATCATATGCCTCAAACATGATCTTGGTGACCCGGAGTACTGAGAGAAAGCCTTTCAGTGCATTTGTACAAAGTATAATGATCAGCGTTTGGCTCACAGTCTCGTTGAGTTTTCTCCTTACACCCAAGGCTGAGTTTCCTCATTACTTGTGACTTCAGAGCAGATGCTTTAAACACCCTCAGGGAAGATCTGGGATTACAGAGAAGGATTTTTCTGGGAGGCTGCAGAAGTTTGCTTGCAAAACCATTATGAGAGATACGGCGATGAGCAATCTGGCACTGGCTGGAGCAGGTGGCACAGGCGTGGGAGTGAGAATTTCTCCTCCCAGTGCCAACTCCTCTGCATCTGCTGCAGAATTACCTGCGGAGGGATCACTGTTGGCTGGGGCTCTGGGCTGTATGGGGGCACATTGCAGCAGCGTTCTCTGCCTTTGCTGGGCTACTGACCTACAAGGGAAGTGTCAGCGGCAGTGGGACACGTCCCAGCTCTGTGATCAGAGCGCAGTGCTGCTGTGCTTTGGTGACTTGGGCCCATTTTTAGATGACCTGTTCTTAAAAAGAAAAAATCATTCAGACCTTCAAGGTTTCTGGGTTAGCTCCAGGTGTGCATTCCTTTCAGCACTGATGCCATGCTGGGCTTGGAGTTCATGCATTACTCTGACATCTGCAGGGCCATTTTTTTTTTCTTTGTATATTCTCCATGTCTTGCTATAAGGGAAGAGGAACAAGGTGGAATACAAAGCTGTGGCAGTGTGCAGACCTGAACTGCATTTGATGAGTGCTGCCAGGGGTGGCTCAGGGCCGGCAGTGACTGCACTCCATCTCATCCTGTTGAGGAAGGTGTTTGTGTGAACATCAGTGCTGCAGATGTGAGGCCTGCCTTTAACTGGGGCTGGGCTGGGGCTTGGATGGAATCAGTAACTGCTCATATTGCTATAGATGTGGCTTCTGCAGTGTTAATTACTGAGTGACAATTTGGTTTTGTCCTGAATAGTACACAGTATTAATAGCACAGGGCATCTTTATAACACAGAATCACAGAATTGTAGGGGTTGGAAGGGACCTCCAGAGATCATTGAGTCCAACCCCCCTGCCAAAGCAGGTTCCCTACACCAGAGACCAGAGACAGTGCCAAATAATCTCAAGTATTGGATTTCCATTAGCACTAATTGAGCATTTTTAAACCCAAACTTTACTTTTATTGGAATGAAAGAACCCAACTTTCCCATTCTTTTGTTTAATACGTGGCAACTCGTCACCTAAGAAAATTCTACAGAAAGTGTGTTTTAAGTAATTCATCACTAAGCTCATTAGAGCAGTAAGATGGTAGAAGAGCGAGGTAATGATTAACATTCAGGGGGTCTAACAGGATGCTCGAGCCTTTAATGCAAACAACAGAGGCCACAAATTCAACAGATTTTCCTGCGACCTTTCGTAAATCACATCAGCTTTTTGGACCTCAGTTCCCCGTTGCTGAAATGGCATTTGGTTGCCTGCTCTGCCCTCCAGGTTGGGTGAGGTTGTAAATGCCCCAAGCCCTGAGGGCAGCCAGCAGAACCCCAAGTGCTGCTGCGTTACCAGTGTTAATAATGCAAGGCATTGCAGAGAAAGCTGGAGGCAACAGCTTGCACATGGCTGTGGGCACATCTAGAGATAAAGGCTGAGAATTGGCTAGGTTCGAAGTGGAACATGCCTAGAGGTAAACATATTTTCTGTTTATTTTGCCAGAAATGCAGTTGGATGGCAGCAGATTGGCCAGCTTGCAGCTGCTGAATTGGTCGTTCTGCTCACTGCCTCTGCTGTGCTGCACCTGCGGCCGTGTGCTGCTGCTCACAGAGGTGTGCGACCCGCAGGTGCTCTGCAACTTCAGCATGGTTACCCCATGTTTAACATGGCAGGGCTGCTCCCCTTCTTGGTGTTCCTTCACAGCAGCTTTTCCTTCCCAGGCAGCTCTGTGAGCACCGAGGTTCACACCCACAGTCCACGTGGTGTAAAATTCAAGTAAAGCCTCCCAGCAAACAAACAAGAAGCAACGCGTTAGGAAGGCACTTCTAAGTGCTCAGTCTGTAGGCTGGAAAAGGCTGTGAGTATAGAGCATCAATATTTTATTTATTTGTTTTGGGACGTCTTTGTTCTTGGAGTATAAAAGGGGTTATATGGCATGCACTCTAATTAGCAGCTATTAGCCCTGGCAGCATAATGCGCTGCTGTTTTTCTCTGTCAATGAAGAAAATGTTTTCAGATAGAGGTCACTGCTTCTGAGCTCTGGTTTTAGCAGCAGAGGTGTCTGGACGCCGCTTAGCTCCTCCAGCTGGAGACAGCAATAAATAAGGTGCTGAACAGCTCATCAAATGATTCACTCTAAAAATAGACTCTCAGCAGCATTTCTGGTGATCTCTTCTCTCTGTGCAATGCTCACAGCCCTACAAATAGGGATTTGTAGTAAGAAACAGCACTGTGGGGACAGCGAAGGAGCTTTGCAGAGGATGCTCTTTTCCAGCAGCCCCTCTATTATGCCACCTTTGCAGGCAGTGTGGATGTCAGGCATGTGCCTGGGGAGGGCCTTAATGTTCATAAAATATTATTATTGTACAGTTATTGTTTCTGCTGGTTCCTGTGATGTAGAGGAGATAAGAGTGCAATTGCTGTTTGGTAAGCCTGTATCCCAACACCTCTCTTGGCAAAGCTGCTTCACATCATTTTGCCTCGCACCACCATTAACAGCTCTCTGAGAGTTTCTTTCTCTCCAACCTTTTGCCCAGTGCTCTAAGGTCAAAAAGGCTGTTTCCCTCAAGCTCTTACCTTCTGCTTTTAGGACAATGAGGACAGAATAACAATGCAGTGTTTTGTATTATGGAAATGATTTGGAACGTCTTTTACATGAGAGAATAAAGTATGGAATTAGCATGTAGCTTCCCAGGTACTGCAAGTAAATCATTCTGCCCTTCTTTGATTTGCACAAAGGGGAAAAATGTCTAAAATTCAGCCAGAAAGCCTCAGCTGCATTGTGAGGCTGTGTGTCGTATTTGACAGCTCAGAGGAGCTGATGTCCCTCTGTTTAATAGGTACAAGTCCAAGGTAATTATGC